CTCTCAGACTGAAGAAGTGTCTTGGAAGAGAGACGAAACGTTTCATTAAAGAAGAACCCGTCCAGAGGACCTAGAGGAAGATTCTCACTTGGCCCCTCTTGGGTAGTTCTAGTGTTAAAACTGTACCTTTCACACCAACAGAAGTCTCCAGCCTTGATATTAAAATGTCATGATCTACTGTATCAAATGCAGCAGTAAGATCAAGAAGAATTAAAGCAGTAGAATCACCAGAGTCAGCAGTTAAAAATAAATCATTGCACACCCTGARAAGTGCMGTTTCAGTGCTGTGACAAGACTTAAAACCAGACTGTAACTTCTCATAAATATCATTAGATTTGACAGCAGCAGTCCACTTTGGTCTGAGTCGTAATCTGTCCATCATCAGTCCTGCTGAAGAACAATCTGTTTCTACAAACAGTGTTTAAACAGCTTGTCTGCAGTAAATAGAATAAGATTTAACTAAACTTATTTACAGAACCCATTTCAAAATGAAGAACCGCTGTGTTCTGTTCTTAGATGTAAAATCAGTTTCAGACAAACATTGGTACCTTGTCCACATTTGTCACAAATGACGATCTCGTTGGGTTCTTCTGACGACTCGTCCTGGCAGATGGAGCAAACGATGTCATCGTCTTCATCATCCTGATCATCTTCATCACCTGAAACAGACAGATGTGCTCAGAAAGAAAAACTAACCTGGAAAAAAAGTACAAATGAAGAAAAAAAAACTTCAGGGACTGATTGAAAACAGTTACATAAACCTGTTTACTGTGAGGATTATATTAAACATATAATGATTTATATGCTGTAAATACTACAAAAAATGACCAAAATAAATCAGCTAAAGTTTATATTTGCTTTATCCTGTCTAAACCTTTGTGTGCTGATAAGTTTAACAGAGTAAATTTTAAACAATATTAAAAAGAAAAGAAAGTATGGGAGAATCTCAAGTCCTTTCTATTTGTTGCTGTGTTTAAAGTGGTTTTCTCCATCTAGTGTCTTGCCTGGAGTGTTATGTTTGTTTTAAAGTCATCCAGAACAAAACTAACATACATAATAAAAACACCACTACTTTTAATTATTAYCCAGAGAGTAGACAGTGATTACATCTACTATTAAGACTTAAAATCTGAAGGTTASTGACAYGCATTTCTTACAAATACAAAAAGTTGAACTTCTTGAATTTTAAACATAWTTTTACTCCTTTTGTCACATAACTGGTATATTCTTAATTTGAAGYAGCCAAAGGGAAACAGGAAGTGACATTAAATGAAGAGGAACTCCCTTGTCTTTGTTTATATAAACTCTGACTCTTCATCTCTCTGACAGTGACTCAGAATAATTCAAAACATCCAGTTATTCTCTGTTTATGTTGTTCATCATTGTAGCAATGAAATGCACAACCTCCAGATTTAAGTACTCATCAGACTTCTACACAACTGAATGTGACAATGTTCTGATCAATAACACTGCACATGTGCACATTTCAGACTGTTACCTGTTGCACATGTGCACATTTCAGACTGTTACTTGTTGCACATGTGCACTTCAGTCTATTACACTCTAAACATTGATTGTATGGTTCCCTTTCTTGATGTTATTATCTCTAGTTTGGTCTCTTTCTTTCAAGTGTGGTCTTTTTATCCTTTATCCCTTATTACTTGCTTAGTATCCTTTAAGTGTTTGTTTTTTTTCTTTCTGCTTGTCTCCTGGCATTCACTGTGGACAGCAAAGAAACAATTTCATTGCTCCGGGAAACAGGTTGTATATGACAATGACACTTTGAATCTTTGCAGCACTGTTTACATGCAGGTGTTACTCTTTATCACCAGGCATGGGCCAGACACTGGTTTCATGGTATACAGGCTAGCGCAACAAACTAACAAGCTAAACTGTTGTTCTCCATCCATATTTTCAGTTCCAGGCTGAGTCATTTCTACCTTCTCCTC